AAATTTTGTCATGATTTTTGGAATGTTACACTATGAAGGCATGGTCCTTAGATGTGATGTGTGTGTACAAATAAGATGCAAAAAGCTTTCATTAGTTGTTGCTTCTTTCTTTTCTTTCCCTTGGCCGAAAGTCACACTCCCCCCTCTCTCGTATTTCACTCTTTTGAAGACTATGAAAGAAGTTAGTGATTTAAGTGTTTCTCCTTTAAAACTAAAATGTGTTTAGTTCTTAAAGGCTTAAGACGTTCTAAATACAAGTGAGAACTAACATTCTTGGTGGATTATACTTGTTGGTGAATACATAATAAATGAGCTCTTCTTTGGGCTGTTTTTCATACTTAAACATTGTATGGTGTTTTATAATCTTTCTAACTCATAATTGGATAATTGATGTTTTTGTTTAAAATGATCTTAAAATAATAGATATTTTAAAATTGATTATGTTGCCGTTATAAGAATAAAGTTTTGTAACATCCCGTTTATTAAATAAATAAATAGATAACGATTAATAAATGAATAGTAGCCCTAAAATCCATAATATTTATCGGGGTGTTGGTTTCGGGGAGTCAAATGACATGATTTGGAGTTTCGGGGGATAAGGTGTAATTCCAGGATCTATTTTGTAAGATTTTCAGAAGTCATGGGGTGTTGGGCAAGTATCAGACTTAAATTGAAGGGATTTGGAATGCTGAGTGCTGAATGGTAATATATGGACTTAAATTTAAAATATTTTGTAGAGGAGGGGCCATTTGGTAACATTTTGAGTTAATTTGAAAGAAAAAGGAGAAGGAGGGACTAAGAGTGTCAATATGGACTAATGTTTGAATTGGACGGGACTTATAAACCCGTCACCATGTAACCCTAACCCTACCTTAACCTCCAGCCGCTACCTTCCTTCTCCATCGTCCAGCCGCCACCACCCGACCCCCCTTGATGTTCCGATTAACCAAGACCACCGACGATATCTACCACGACCAGAGATATCGAAGACCGACGAGAACCAGAAGTCATCACATCAGTTGGAGATCGGAGAACGTGGCCGTTTCAAACGCTTCTCCTCCTTTCCTCCTTGTTATGTGTCATCTGAGCGTTGGCTGACGTCCGTAGCCGCTCATGCGACAGTCAGCGACGTCGTTCCTTCTACCGCCGCGTCATTCCTGTTGAAGAGGAGCCGCCGTCGAACAACCACCGTTCTGTTGCTGCCGTTGCTGGACTGTTCCGACGAGTTCGTGGCAGCTTCAATCAGTTCTCCTCCTTTCTTCTGTGATGTCTCAGTTTGCTGATGTCCGTCAGCTGCCGCTACCACCAGTTGTTAACGTGGTTGTTGCTGCCATTCGTTGTACGCCACCAGGTGGGTGGTAGCATCCATATTTCGTGCAAGGATGCGTGTGTGTACTGGAGTATGTGTTGCATAACCGGAAATCACAAGAGAGCCACCACCACCACCGTGAGGTGGTGGCTAGCACCTTCGACCACCGCCTGCCACCACAAGGGTGGCTGTGTGTGTGTGTTTTATTATGTGTGTATTTCTTTTTGATAATATGTTGTTTGTACATTATTTTGGCCGGAAAACCCGAAGAAAACCCACCACCACCACCGTGAGGTGGTGGCTGCCGCCTTCTACCGCCACCAGCCGCCATGTTTGGTGGCGGTGTACATTTTGTGCATGGTTAAATTGTTTTTTTGAGATGCTTGGACAGGTTTTGGGTTAACATCATAACCACCACCACGAGGTGGTGGCCGCCGCCTTTGACCACCACTACCCGAGGTGGTAGTGGGTGGTGCCCGACATATTTAACCCTAATTTACCTAATGAAGCCCTAATTGACCTAAAAACCTAACCATTTGACTAATCGGCACGCGATTGGGTTGGAAACCCTAATTAGGGTTTAGAAAACCCTAATTTTGGATTTGTTGGTTTGGATTTATCGGAACCCGCATTTTGGGCCATTGGAATTGAATTATGAATTACACCCGATCACACCATATGATTTACCTAACAGAATGATTGACTTAATGGATTAAGTCCTTAATGGGTTAAGTGTCTTAACCCTAATCGTCATTTTATGTGAAAACCCTAATTTTGCTTGAGCCTTGAGTTGGGCTTTGGTGATTGGGCTATTGATGGGCCATCCAAGAACAAATATATGGACTAGAATATTTGATTTGGGCTTTAGGATAAAGCCCATTGGAAAAGCTTGGGCCCAATTTGGAAAATTGGGCCATAGGTGGGCCATAATTGGGCCTTGATAATTAAGAGATATTGGACCTATGAAATGCCAAGTGTGTGGACTAGAATAAATGGTTTGGCCTTTATGGTAAGATCATGTGAGGGGTTTGGGCCCAATTTGGAAAAATGGGCCATATGTTGGGCTTTGGTCCATTGTTTGACTTTTGGGCCTTTGGAGTGTGAGCTTGGGCCTAGGGCTTGAATCAAGCTAGGTTGGGGGTAAAGTAGTTTTTTACCCCAATCATGGACTTATGGTTATGTGTTGGAACCCAATTATTAATTGGGTGTCGTTTTGATGTTGACAGTTCGGGAATCTGTCATCCAGCAGCTAAAGTTTATCTGTGGGACTTCAGCAGTGTGAGGTGAGTTGTCCTCACTATACTAATAGGGTCGAAGGCACCAATGCCGACCTTTTTCGGATTTGTATCCGGGTTTATTGCATGTTGATATGCTTAGTGACCTGTTAAGTCGGTATCCTGGTATATAAGATGATGCTATGTTAGTGACCTGTTAGGTCGGTATCTTGGTATATAGGATGATGCTATGATTAGTGATCTGTTAGATTGGTCTGATTATTTGTATATGCTAGCATTTGATATTTATGTGCTGATTGTGCGATTGGGGATGGGTCGAGGTGGTCTCTGCTTTGTGCTCTAGGCCAACATACCAAGGGCGGCCCAAATAGAACGCAAACCCGGTAAGGGCGTACTAGTCAGGCCGGAGGCCCGACGAGTGGTTCAGATAGGCTGAAGTCCCACGAGGCGGTCCAGACGTGCCGATGGTTCGGAGAGCGGTCCATATAGGCTGATGGCCCTGGGAGGTGGTCCAGTCAGGCTGATGGCTCAATATGCATGCTGTTTGTTGGTTATGATATGATTATGTTTGTATGGCGTTGGTATTTTGGGGGAACTCACTAAGCTTCGGACTTACAATTTTGGATTTTGTTTCAGGTACTTTAGATGATCGCGGGAAGGCGAATGCGTGATCGTGCACCTCCTCACATTTTATGATTTTGATTTCTGGGATACTCTGATATGAAACTATTTTGAAAACATTTTGTAATAAATAGTGGTTTTTGAATGCTTGAAAAAGTTTTAAATTTTCATAAATTTTATGGATGTTACAAGTTTCGTTTTTAGCTATCAAAACCCACCAAGGTAATCTTATCACATGGAGCTCACAAAAACAGAGTACAATATCACTTAATCTCATCTTGTGAAGCTGAATTTATGGCTGCAGTAGCAACAACATGTCAAGCATTGTCGTTAAGAAGTATGTTGACTGATTTGACCAGACTGAAGGCCAAATGTGTGAAGATATTTGTTGACAACAGGTCCGTCATAACATTGATGAATAACCCACTATTTCTCTGGATAAGTAAAAATATCGATACATGATTCCATTTCATCCACGATTATGCTGAAAAAGGCATGATCTGTGTAGAACATGTAAGTGGTGAAGAACAGAAGGCATACATCCTTACTAAGGTATTACCACGAGCAAAGTTTGTTGAGCTACGTGAACTATTGTGATTTAAGAACCTGGAAGACACAAATCAGAATTAAGAGGAAAAGTATTGGAAGTAATTTTGAATTACTAAACCTTTCACCTAGTCAATTGGAGAATAAGGTGCATATGTGTGCCAATAGTTGAAGAGTGAGTGGCTTTGATAGTTGGTTTATTTGTTCCTATTTTTTAGCTTAGTAAGTTTGTATTTCTACATTATTTAAGAGTTGTTCAGTCTTTGCTTTTCTTGTAATTAGTATCCGTTTATCCTTTTTGTTGTTATAAGGTCCTCCGTGCAAGTCTAGCATCATCTACGTCCTACAAGACCAAGTGTTACCCCTGAATACCCAGTAGCATCATTATGAATCTTTGATACCAGGAAGATCAAACTGATGGTTTTTGATGATGTAATCAACAAAAAATGACTGATCTGTGTACTTTATAGAAACTGGTTGATATGTGTACTTTCTTGATTTGGTACCTATAGAGTGATTAATTTGTGTGCTAATCTAACTATTTTCCACCTTAAGAAATTCTTTAACTAAATCAATTTGATTACTAAGAATGCTCCAAAAATGCTTATCAGAGATTGGGGGAGAACTTGTGATGTTACTTAATCCCTGATATTATTTGACATTACTGGGTTGGTAACTTGGTATGTGAATTAAAATATTATAATTCGACTGAAGAACGCATTATAAGGGGATATGGAGATGTGGATTACATGGATGCCGCCATTGAAGCACACTTTTGTGAAAAAAATGAGGAACAGATAGGAAGATAGAAACATGCACAGGATGATTTCCAGTTTCAATCTCATCCATCCATATCCAAATATAATATATATACTTGTTTTTTTATTAGTGTTATTTTTGTCCCGCCTTGTAAAACATTTATGGGTGTGTCGTTACTCAGGGTGTCTTTTAACCCCAAAAAATTCTTTAAAATTTGATATTAATGGTAATTTAGATAAAAAATGACTTAATACTTTGTGAATTATCACTAAAACGTACATATATACCTGATCAAAACATCATGAATCCACTCTTCGCATTGCTCTCATAAGGATCAATGACAACAGAAAGAAACCAAACAATAAAAATACATGATCGTATTGAGATAAACGTTATGATACATTTAGATCATAAATTATTGATAAGATACTGATACATATGTATCCTGAAATTCATCAACAAAGGTAACTTCATAATTGCCATATACATAAGGTATACTGCATCTGCATGGCATGGTGTAAAACACTTACTCAAACCTCCTGGACTTGGGCCTCCTTAGCCACATCCACTTCAACAACTTTGGCGTCCTTAGCCACAGCCACTTCTTCAACATCTTTCTTCACATCCTCAACTTGAAAAGCCGACACTGGAAAAGTTCTGTAAAGGCCAGAAGTTGCCTTGAAAGTGATCTTTTCAGTGTTGGATTCATCAACAGATATCTCATCCAGTGTGAGCCACAGCAAAAGTTCCTTAGTCTTCACACCCTTCAGATTCTTGATCTTCATCTTCTCCATGGTTGCAGTAACCTCAGTTCCATATGTTGCAAGCCTATCGATTTTTTCAAACTTGTGTTTCTTTTCGGCCTTTTGTTTGAGCCACACAAAGCCGGTTTCTTTGACATGCCCACACTCCTCAATGTCTTCCAAAGGTAAGAGGCCATTGGGTAGCCCCATTTCTGTGAGCAAAGCCTTTGATTTTTCTTGACAAATTGCATCACCATGGCATATGTCTGATGCAGATGCTCTGATTTCGTCTGTCACAAGAGACATTTTTGGTTTAGTTTGAAATGGGAATTTGGTTATATAGCTCTTGGTATGTTGTTGTGGAGTGGGATGAATGTATGATTAGGGGGTTATGCTACTTATATAATTCACTAGATATTTAATTGGTCTAGGTTCTTGTAGTAATTACCAAACTGCCATTTTCAAGTTCTGCTTTTTGGTAAATTTTAAACGTTGGGTTGGTGTAAAGTCACATCTCTTTAATGTTTGATAGAATTGACCTTTCTAATGTCATCATAAATTCAGGGTCCAAACAACCTCGTTTTTTGGTAAGGTGGCACCCAAAAATCGTTTGATATTTTTATTTATAACAAGGTTGTGATATTCCTTTTTAATACAAACAGATTTTATAAATATCCTATTTAGAATGTGGGCAAGTCAAAAATGAAAAACCTAAATTTTATAGAAAAATACATTATTGTGCATGAAAAATCGTTTCAACCAAATTTCATTATACAAAAGATTCTTTCATGAAATTTAAAATCCAAATGTATCCCTATTTTATATCAAAAAGTTTCTAATTCGGTAACTACTTTAAAACACAATATAATTTTACAAAAACGGCTTTAAATCTTATTTAACCCTATTAGTTATTTCCATCACAATCAACTACTATCATCAATATATTATTATTATTATTATTATTATTACTACTACTACTTTAACTAATTGATATATAATAAGATTATATTTCTATTCTACCATCACTGTTATCATTATTAAGAAAGAGTTGCGTATAACGATATAAGAAAAATAAGAACAACGATTGGAATCTTATTCAATCGGTTTCAAACTTTAGGAACCGAAACGGAAATAAATCACGTTGGTTTTGATTATGGAACTGACAGTTCTTGACAGCTTCGGAGTTCCGGATATTCGGCTTCTATGCTTAAGCATGTATCTTATTGTCATATAGAATATAGAAAAGGAAAGGATAGATAAATAAATTAAATATAATGCAGTTGAGACCAATTAATCATAAATTTAAAGAGGTCGGCAAGTTGGTGGGAGGGGCAACAAATAACCCGCCCATATCATTCAATGCAGCGGGGATTTGGGAAGCTTTTACATCTTAATAATAACGATTTTGGGCCTTGATATGTATTGGTATTTGGGTTAAATATTGGATTAAATTACATAGTATGTTTTCTGATTTGTTTGCTTCTGCTGTGAGTCTTTGTGGTCAAAAGATCCTTATAACCAAACAAAGATAGCTACTCAAATGTGGAATATGTTTAGCAAATATTAAGCTGATTTCAATCTTTTGTTAGCTATAGCTGAGGTGTCAGATCCGTAATATAAATTCACTTTTGTTGAGTTTAGCTATAGAAATGTCTATAGTAAAGGTTTATCACAATTGAAGAAGGTTGAGGATGCATTTTTTTCACTTTTTGATGAATACATGCAATCTTCTAAAAAATCAATATTGGCATCCGAGTCGGCATTATTGCAAGGCAGTGGAGACATTAAGGTGCTGCTTGTTTTTCTGTAGCCAAAATGTCTGCAGTCTGCGGACCATATCTGCAAGCCTCTACAGCAGAAAATGTGGACCAAATGTCTGTAGTCTGCAATAAGAAGTCTGTTTGTTTTTTAACGTCTGCAGGTACTGAAATAAACTGATTTTTCAAATTAATTTAATGTCATAAACATAAAAAAAAGGCATTTTTAGCAAAAAAGATAGGCGGCGGAGAAAGGAAAAAAAGATAGGCGACGTTTTTTTTTTTTTTGGTTTAGGTTAAAATGAGGCGTGAAGACCTTTGAAGACAGTGACCCATTCTGCGCCAGGAAGACCTCGCACAAACGTTTTTTGATCTGCACATTTTCAAAAAACAAACACTCTGCGATGACATATGTCTGCGCGGCACAAACAAAAATGGTTGCACAAAAAAAAACAAACAACCCCAAATTCTCGACAAGGTAATGCTGGAAATATTGGAGGAGGGCTCTAATCACAACATTCTTTAGATTTGGAGGAAAGTGGACGTGAGATGCTTTGAAGATTAATGTGAATTTTTTTTTTTTTGGATTAATGGGGATTTTTATATTGATTTTTGAGGAATTTCAAAGATGACATGTCACAAGATTTTATATATATATTTTTTAATTTTTTGTTTCGAAGTTGGGTTTCTCTGTTGGGTCATTTCTTTATTGGCGAACACTTTAAAAAGATTTGGATAATTGGCATAGGTTAATCAACTTTATAATGGTTTATTATGTTATTTGTTAAAGACAAAATATTGCAATAAATTATTAATTTTTTTATTCTATTTACAACAATATAGTAATATTGAACACAATTAAATTTTAATCTGTACCCAAAAGACTATATACAAAAATATCAAGTTAAAAATGGCTTTCATTTTACCCCAACAAAAAATATGCCAAAATTTGAAGCATATAATAGCATAAAGATCAATTTATGGATGTTTTAGCGTGAGATAATATTGACAAATGAAACAAAGAGATGACTTATTTGCGCCAGAAAATCAATAATCACTTTCTAAATGTTGATTCACAGTCGCTAATTTAATAAATAAAAATTGCACCAAATTAACAAAGGCATGTTAGCATTTCTATCTTGACTTTATCCTACCCGTTGTATGTATTACAAGAAAGCAATCAATGTTTCTATTTCGTATATGCATAAACAACATTTTTCTGAAGCAATTTGGTAAAATAGAACCCCAAATTATATGCTTTAACTAAAAAGAAAACCCAGAGTATCGACCAAATGAAGGTCAAACGAAAACCCATAAAGAAAAAATTGATTCACAAAGAGCATTGTAACGCCCCAAATTTCAAATACCAGTATTAACTTAACATGGTCTCAAAACTTCTAAAATTCTAAAATTCAAATACTAATGTCATTATTAATAATAATAGCGGAAGCAAATAGAAATTTAAGTAAACACTGGTGCGCTACGTCTTCCTCAAAACTTATCGCCTTCTTCAAGTCTGAGCTTTATCCTTTCCATTCCCGCTGCCACTTGCTACGTTATTTCTTGGGTTGCGTGTATTTAAAGATTCTAATGGGTAAGCCTAGGGTCTAGTGAGTTCGTGATTTTCATGCATATTGACGTCAATAAAATAAAAATAATGCAACAAATTATCAAATATAATTCTTTTCATTTCTTTCCACCCTTGGTGCCACATTAGGGAACTCCTGTCATTTTCAGGGAACAAGTCCCTCCGTCGGGCACAACAAATATGCTTACGGCTAATTAATCAGAGCATAAGCTCTCCGCCACGTACTGACACCATGTACGACGACTACTAATAAGACCGTGTAGTTAATACACCTGTTCCCTATGTATATGTCACCCACCCTTTTCTTGGATTAGTGTCTAAGTCCATAACTATAATTGATATGTACTTGACCCGATTTGGCATGGTCCATTTGGGGTTGCACTTCACCGGAACAATTTATATGGATAGTCTTTTGAGAATAGTATGTTTATGATTTATATTAATATATTATAAGTTCTAATATATTAATATGGAATCATATTATTTAATTAGTATTGATCAAGAATTAATTTAGAATTAATTTAGTGATCAAAAGGAACTAATTAAATATGGACTCTTGTATATATATGGAATGGGCCAAGTTCATTTAGGTTGGGCTAAACTTGCATGTATAGTCCATGGAGTTTTTAAGCCATGGATCCTATGGAAATGGAAGGTCATGGGTATTAGGGTTTACATGGATGAAACCCTAATCCTCCATACTATATAAAGAGGTCATTGGCACTTGAAATTGGCACTAGTGTGTGAGAACAAAGGGTGTTTTTGGTGTGGGCCGATTTCTAGAAGTGCTAGCTATTCTCTCAAGTTTTCCAAGGTGTTTTTGGTGATTTGTGATTTCACTTGAGGCTTCCACACTATTGGGGCTAAGCTCTTAAAGACCAAGACTTCAAGCTTCATCAAAAGGTATGTCATCTAACTAGGCTTTTGTAGTATAGTTGCTTCCTATCATGCTAGTTAGGATGAAACATTGGAATATTGAATATTTGCATGTATAATAGAGAAAACATAGATCCGAGGTTTATAGGGTTGCATGTACACCATAGGAGTGTTAGAATGCTCAAAACCCATCAGTGGTATCAGAGCCTAGGCTTGTTTTCTTTTATACTTGATGCAAATTGCTAAAATCGAAGTTTGTAGGCTGTCTGGTCAGCTGACTCGCCGAGTCCATTAAGGGACTCGACGAGTCCATGCCTAAATTTATCCAACTCGTCGAGTTGGTTCATGCACTCGACGAGTTGGACCCCCTGACAGCATATCTTCGACTTTTAAGGCTGGAATTGGTCTAGAATCATTACCTTAAACTGTTTTGGACCTATAAAACCTGTTTTTGATGTGGTAATGATTATGGTAAACCAATTTCAAAGTTGTTATCAAAATTTCAAGCTTTATGTGTGTTTATGTAATTCTTGAAATTGTTGATATGATTGTTCATACACTTATGAGTTTTAGTAGATCATAGGAATTATTTGCAAAATTGTTTGTTAGTTAATTCCTGATCTAAATGTGTTTTAATGGAGTCCATAATTTGTCCTCAAGTTATGGATTACCAAAAGACATTTCTTTTAAAGATTCATTAAAATGCATAGGTTACTTAATTGAAGAGTCTTTTTGTTTTATGAACTCCATAACTTGTCCTCAAGTTATGGATGTTCAAGAGTCTCTTCATTAAAGGTTTTTAAAACCTTAATTAAACTCATAAGTTATGAAAATCCAAAAGTTTTTGAATAGTTCAAAACTTGCCCTCAAGTTTTGGAATTTGTAAAGTCTCACACACACTTTAATTCTAAACCTTAGAGTTTTAAAAGTTAAAATTCAACCCTTATACTTTATAGTATTATAAGTTAATAATATATATATGTATAAGAGCAAGTCAGTCTTACAGTTAGTAGACCTCATTCACGAAGCCGGTCTATAAGGGGGGTATAAGGTTACTGCCTATAAAATGACAGTTTAATGGGTGT